AACACAGATAAATCCTGTCGGATTCTCAGGAGTCCGCTGCTTTTGGCAGATTGAGCATCAATAACAGTAAAAGCTACAGAGGTGTGAGCTTTGATCTTTTCATCCAAAATGAAATCTATAGCAATGCAAAATGGCTGTCAGGGCCTGTTGTTTGTTCATCAGCTAAATTGGTTGTTATAGGAAATGAATGATGGGCTAGGCACTGTGACTTGGCATCGGTTTTCTTCCTGGGATTGATGCCTTCAGTCATTCCTCATTTCATTAACTTTTGACTCTCTCTCTCTCTCTCTCTCTCTCTCTCTCTCTCTCTCCCACCTCATTGGAATTTCCATTAATAAAAGTAGATTTTGCTGAGTTTAATTAAGGTCTATGCTGTACATTTATCATAGAACATTCATTCAGGTGATTTAATCATGCAAAGAGTGTGCATAGTAATCAGAATCAGTACTCAGAACAACAACTTACTTTAAGAAATGTTCTTAGATACAATACTAAAATCAAGTCAACCAATATTATTCATGAAAACATTAAATATCAAGAAGACACCATGCACACTGTGTATTGTGTATTGTGAACATTCATGCCATTATCTAAAATATAACATTTTGTCATATTACATTATTACAGCTTCATTGAAATGTAATTTACCACCACATTGCTAAAATATTCACAACTAACCAGTGACACCAAGATGGACAAATGTCTATTCCATCCAATTGTCATTTAGGTGTTTAAACTTCCACTAACATTTTACCTAAATGTAGTTTTTACATGACACCCACACACATAAGCCTTTCCTGACGATGGGCATAAAACTACATAAACATCTATAAATGGCTTATAAAATGTCTATTATTGGTTTCAAATTAACATAATACCCACGTCAAGGGATGTGGACTTTCTGGGTTGACTTACACAAGGATATAGAATTAGATGACTGGACTCTGTAGCTTAGTGTGCTTCTGGCAGGCCGTATACATATACAATAACTTGTTATTATGGTGTCATGACATTGTCATTATAAAAGTATTATAAAAAATAAAATCCTGGTCATCAAGATAAAAGACCCATTAAAGATCATTTTAGAAAAAGATTGTAAATGTAAACACATTTACGATATTTAACAATGTTTTTCTTTTACATATGAAAAATAAATGGAATGTGGAGAATGATGAGCACCCTCTGATTATCAATGTATACTAATATGACATCAAAAACAAATTATATTAGAGAGTAGGTCATTTAGGTTATTTAATATCAGGTATATATTACCAGCCTTCTGGTTGAATGGCAGACCTTTAGGTTATGTAGCTCAATGCTACATACTGTATCTGCCATTATGGTGTTATGGTATTACCTCTTAAGAATCTCATAGGCAGAAATAAGAAACTCACATTAATTCATGGGAAGAGGAAATAGACATAACACTGTACAGGCTGTCACAGTTTTAAAAGCCTTTGCTATTTAATTGTGTTATACAGCAGTTTCTCATGTCAGTGTTATTAGCACCAAGAGCCAAGCTCAGGAGCATTTTATGGAAGCATCACCTAATGGAAGCCTTTGTTCAGTTTTCTAATTAACCTCAATCGGCAAGCTTACACATCACCACTATTATATGACTCTGACAAACCAGCAGTTCACTGAGCTACAAAATCAATTGTTCTGATATTCTTCTACCAGAAGTCATCACGGAAGTGTTCCTACATAGCCTTACAGTATTTCAACAAAAATCCATTACTTAACACAATTGTTACATCAGCTTGATATTAAAATTGATGAGCAGTCTTTGTGTCAACTGACACCTACTGGAATAAGCAATATAAACCTTATTAGCTCGCCTAATCCATATCACAGATTTATAACCCTGGCTATTCTTCTAAGGTAAATTAGAGCCATGAGTGTGGTTCAAGCAATTTTTGATTGTATTTTATAAGCTTTGATGTGTTAATATATAAGTTAATTATAATTATTTTTTTAATAAAATAAGTTCATTGTTGCAAGCAGGTGAACTTTAATATATTAAAAAAAATTCAAAGGCTTAGAAAAAAAAGGAACATAATTATCAATGCAGAAACAGCTGGGCCTGAAAAACCTGTTAATAAGAAACAGATCAGAACATTTCACCTCCAAGTTTTTGCAGTAGTTAAATATTACAGTCAATTTTCTATCACATTGTAATGTCACTTAAAGTTTCACCTCAGATAGTATTCTAATCAAGGCATTTGTTGTAAGAAAGAAAGAAAGAAAGAAAGAAAAATGCACTCATTGGCATGTTTATAAAAATAAGCCCTCATTACAGAAAAAATATTTCCGCGAAATCTCCTTGGAATTTCCTCAGTTATCATAAAGCCGATAATTGAATATTTTCGAAAATTACCCAGCTGATTTTGCAGATGCATTAAAGAATACGGTGTAAATGTATCTACTCATGCAATGCAATGCAATCCAGATAATGACTAAGCATGGATTAAAAAGTGTAGTGGAAACCAAAATAAAGTCTAGCATTCAGATTTTATAAATAGAATAATGAAAAACATCTTGTTATCACCACATAGTTGTTAACTTTTCTCCCCATTTTCTTTTCCTGTTTGGTGGTATTTGTTTGGCACCTCTCTATTTGTTTTCTTCATTTACTGGCTTTCCTTTGTCTTGCACTCTCCCAGTGGGTGGAACAGACACCTTTGAAAACTCCTGAAACGGATCATTTTGAGAACTCTGAAAATAAACGTGTTGAATTTTCAGACTCTGGTATAAAAAAAAAAAGAAAAAGAAAAATGTATACTGGAATCTGACCTACTTGTAATTGTACCAGTAAGTGAATTACAAATATAGCTGATAAGCCAACTATGATAAATGTAATTCATACTGTGATTTGGGTAACTTTAAGCTTATTTGATAGAAACATGACACAAGGGTAGAAAGCAGGAGCAAAGCACCCTGGGTGAGGATCTCTGGCCATAATTTACCAATAAGGACTACGCAGTTATCTGAATCAGATGTTCACTGCTTATTCTCAATCAGAGGAACCACAGTAGAAAACCTTGTAACACTTTAACTTAATATTGTGTTTATAGGGCTACGTAAACCTACACAAACGTGTATAAAGGTGTTTTTAGCTGTCATAGAGACTTTTTTTTGTCCTTTTATGTTAATTTGAATTTGATATGTCACCTGTGTCAAGAGACATAGATTTTTTTGATATAAGGTTCTGGACTGACTCGCAATAAAATGCCAAAATGTCATGACAACGGAAGCTCAGTGCACTTCTTGAAGGCAGAGTCATGTATCGGTGATGATATGACCTGTGAGCTTGCCAAGTGAGGTTAATTGGAAAGTTTAACAAAGGTTCAACTTCCAAAAGATTTACTGCAGTGCCTCCTGTACTTGGCACTTGGTGGTAATGATTTCAACATGAAAATCTGCTGCATAACACTGTTACATAGGGAAGGATTTGACAGTAATCATTACATTGTAATATCATGACGTTATATTAAGTGATTAAATGTTCTGAGATGCCTAAGTGCCTTGAACTTCAGTCAGCTAACATGATATTCTAACAAAGGCCAACCCAAAAAATGTTATAACACAATATTATTTTAAGAAACATCTGTGTCACCTGAACTGGCTGAACTTGATATCAGAAAGGATTAAAGCAGTCTTTATGCAACCCAGTCTCACAGAAACAAAATGTTTGCATGCAACTTATTTGCAGTACTTTCTATCAGTTGAATATCAATATTCTGTGACAAGCATGCATTGCATGTCAACCTATCAAACATTCACTCAGATGCTCTGTATGTCACATTCCACACCACATTTAATTTAACCGTGCCCACCGCTACCACTCTGCAATTTGAAAACCCGAGTTTTGAAAATGAGCAGGTATTTTTGAAACGCAAACAGTGGGTTACGCTGAATATGTTTTAAAAAGAGGTCAAAATATGTATTACATATTGATCTTATTCAAATAGCATACTGGTAGAGATGGGCTTGGTTATATTGAAGAGCATGGCATACAGATCATTCAAGCGAACGTTTGATACGTTTTTCTGACTGTGTGTACTAGGTCTTTATAAATATTTATGTAGGTTTATGTCAGTTGTCAAAGTTTATGCAGATGTCATGTAGCCCAATGAATACTACCCCTAAGTAAAGTGTTATGTAAACAAGCTGAGTACACTGAAACTGAAACTAGAACAGTGAAATAGTCACAGCATTAACTATAATTGCTAGTTGTGGTTACTGTAGCTTTATTATCCAGTCTTCGTTGCTTTAATGATCCATTGCCTTGTTGGAGAGCATCAACACTCTGTAGTCAGAAGAACTTCACATTGAAAAAGAGCCACTTTAATCATTCCTCTCACCTGATAGAACCTGTTGTACTGGCAACCCAGCTGGAGCTACGCAGATTCTTCTGAAGCCTCTCACCACTTTTATTACTGGGATGGAGGCATGAAGGCTGAAGGCTGTCCGATTTTTGCCAAAGATTTCTCCAGTCCTAATGAGGCTCGATGGAAAGACAAGAGCTTTCAAAACTAGCAGGCCTCACAGATATCTTTCTCCAACTTTCCCTCTAATCACCCACACTCCCATCCTGAGATGGGAGAAAGGGAACAGAGTTAGGCCTGTGGCCAGAAACACTACAGAATAAAATCCCAAAGCGAGAATGAGTGTGCAATAAGTACCCTCAGAATAGTCTGTCTAAAATCACTTCAACATCTATCACTCCACAATAAGCTATATTTAATATGTACAATATAAAAATGTACTGTAAATATTACAGTGATTTAATGGCAACAGGGTTACCAATAAAGTACTGTAAAAAAAAAATTACAATTATAAATATATTTACAGTAAAGCACTGTAATATCTTACATAGTATAAAATAACACATAATGAAGTACATTTGCGCATTTGGCTGACGCTTTTGAAAAAGCGACTTACAATTGATGCAAGATACCACTGAGCTGAAGGTTAAGGGTCTTGCTCAAGGACCTAGGCATAGCAGCTGGGATTTGAAGCCAGACCTTCTAATCTGTAAGCCAAAGCCTTAACCACTGAGCAACTAAAACAACTAGCTTACATTGATGCAACCACTGCTACCACTGCATTAACTCGCACTAAAAGATTGCATTGAATCAATGCATGTTAGTTGAGCCTGTTGCAGTGGCAGTGGTTAAGGCTTTGATTTACAAAGCAGAAGGCTGTGTGTTCACATTCCAGCATTGCCAAACTGCCATGATTTGGTGCTTGAGCATGACCTTTAACCTTCAGTTCAGTTGTAGCCTGCCTCAATTATAAGTCACTTTATTTAAAAGCTTCAGCCAAATGAGCAAATGTACTGGATTATGTGTTATTTTAGACTATGTAAGATATTACAGTACTTTACTGTAAATACAGTATGTTGAGAGTTGTTTACTGTAAATTTGTACAGAACTTTATTGGCAACCTTGTTAATTTTTTTACAGTGTACATATATAAATTACTAAATATTCTAACCTAGCTAACTGCCATAAATGTTCTGTCCATCAGTTAGACATTAAAATAACAAAGACGTGAAAGTGTAGCTTATGTCATTAGTTATTAATATTGGAACTGACTACATGATGATGACATGACTGCTGCTGAAAGTGGTTTATCAGTTATACTGAATACTGTATACGCTTTAATACTCTTTAATAGGATCAAAGAGAAGAATTTTATTGCTATTAAGTTGAATTTAAGAATCGTAACTGCTAGCCTTGAACTGCTGCATTGCTCTGGGCTATACTGCATTTTAAACTGAAGCTGCCCTTTGTAATTTTTCAAGCAGGGCTCCAAATTGGTCTGAGGAATAAAGACAAAGACTGGAATTGAATGGTATTTTTATTTTATTTATTATTAATCTTTAGTAACCACTGGGTGTGAGCCAGGAATACACCCTGCATGGGATGAAGGCTATGAAGGCATTTTGCTAAAGACAAAAACACAACTGAAGACGTAATCATCCTTAACTGTTATTCTTTTACTTCTATTATCTTTATTCTTATTCTATTATTCCTATTCATATTATTATTAAAACTATTTTTTGTTCTGTGTAGCCTACCAGCTTATTATTTATGTATTATCTCCAAACACTTCAAAATAGATCAAAATCACATCTAGCATTATTTTATTCAATTTATCATTTTATATGCGCCGTGTAGCACAGGTTATCATTCTTGGGTAAAGAAAGAAGGTGCAAAAAAAAAAAATACTACAAATGTGTTCTCAATGTCAAACTTTACTATGTTAAAGTATGCATTGGACAGATAACCAGGCCTGTTTGTTGTTGGGCTGTACCCACGAGAATCAGAGAAACACAGCTCAGCTAACCCAGATTAGAGCCGGGCATTTAGCCAGCTAACATGTCTATGCATTGTTAAACAGAAAATTTGCTAATTCTATTGACAATATGTAACATTGCATTTGGACTTTTTTTTGATAAGAACAACTTCTGGTAAACGATTCTGGGCTATTTCATAGCTATATGTTGGAGCACAGTAAAATTCAATAAACTTGCGTGTGTGGACATATCCTTATCGATACAAATACAGCTGCTGGGCAGCTTTCTAAACCTGCTATATTATATTAATTCTACACACAGCCTCTGTAAAAGGAAGAGAATTAACCATTTTCTTCTGGTTGAAACACAAGAAATTTAATGTAAAAGTACTGGTTCTGCTCAGAGCAAACCGATTGATTTCCTATTCTGTTTCTCAGCCCTGGTTTCAAGGCTCATAATAATCATCCAGTTTTTAAAGATACTTTACAAACATTGTGTTAAGCAAAAAGATCTCACTAGCTTCCTTGTTTGTTTCAGTCTTTTGTTGACAGTTTTCCAGCCTGGAAATTAGCTCTGTTTTAGCTGAAGCAGAGGCATGGTCAATTTCAAGAGATGATAAGGTAAGGTGAAGGTTAAGTGCATGGCTTGTGTTTTCACTGCAATTGCAGTTTGCCTCGCAGGCAGCAGAGGGCTCTATAAATTACAAACTGCTCCTTTAATATGCACTTCAGCACTTGCATTGAATTTCAGCTTAAATACTTAAAAACATAATTCCAAAGCTGGAATTCCACTTTGCAGATATCTAAAACAGCACATGGAATATCACTTTCAAAGACTTCTGCTTATTGTCAGCACTAAACTCTTTTACACTTGCATGTTTATTACTGTGGACTGCAGCAGAGATGATGAATATGGCATGGCTGAACTAAGACACTTGAGGTGTCCACCCTCACTGGGTCATTAAGAATGCCAGGCTGAGCTGTCTGTCAAAGAAACAGGGGGTCCAATAATATGGAGCAGTTAGATTTGCTGAGGTGGTAATACACTGAGTTTTTATTTAATTTTCCCCGGCCTCATGGAGAAAATTCCCCATGTGACTAATGTGCATCGTAACTGGAAGACTGTTGTTTCTTGTACCTTCTAGGGATACAGTGTGTAAGATCTGGTCCACGACGTTCTGTCTCTTTTGCAAATCTTTTGTCATTTCATTATTTTGTAATTATTATTTTGATTGGCTTTAAGTTATGTAATAACTCTAATGGCTATATGTAGAATTAGCATTATGTTTGTAGTTCAGTTTCAGGCTAACAGGAGAACGCAGGGCTGTGGGTTAGATTTGGTTGGCACTGGAATATCAGAGAAAAGCAATAGACTGTATTCAAGACTGTATTTCACAGGAGACCATCTGGTTTTAATGATCAATATGATCACAACACTAGCTACAGCTTGCAACAAGCTAGCAAACCCAATGCCATGGCACACTCTATCAACAGCATAGTGGGGAAAATAAAAACAAAACCCTCTTCCTTATTTCCTAACCCTTTTCAAAGTCTGTCTTATAATTCTCTCTATTTTAACAGTTGTGAAGCTTTAGCAACCAGCACATTGCTAAAGAAGCACTTTGTGTTCATTAATTTTAGAGAGTAATTGCTTAATTTAGAGAGTACAGCTTGCATAATCATAATCCTGAGAGTCAGCCAGTTCGTTTTGTGATTATATAATTATGTGTACATCAATCAATATGGCAAATTCATGAAAAATTCATGAAAGATTTTATTATTCATAATAAATTTCATGACATTATATATTATACTAAAGTTTTGTATTATGAAGCAAAAGAAAAGGTATGTTATGGTTGAAAAATATAGAGTATAAGTTTTAAAAGGTACCTCAGGTGTCGATCTATAGTTCTCAAGATATGCTATTATATTAAAATGCTATTATATTATGTTCTTTGGTATAACATCAGCAAGTTTAGTTTAGTGGTAGTTTTCCCTCTACACTCTTCACTATACAATTTGCTGCTTCGTGATTAGTCCCGCATTTTAAAATATTGTTTTTTTTTATCTAAAGACAAACATGCCATTGAGACCGAGTTGAAATATTTGAGACAATTTTTCTATGTATACATTTTACTCATGGATTTCACACAGTATTATATCTATATTGTAGTAAATAATAATAATAATAATAATAATAATAATAATAATAATAATAAATCTATTTCACTTTAGAATCACTTTAGCTTTACATTAAGTAGTTAGATAGTTAGTTAGTTAGTTAGTTACATTTATTTATGGAAATTTGTCTTTAGCTTCACCATACTGTATAAACTAGGACATCAACACAACAACCTAAAAAAAAACAACAACAAAGCAAACGTACATAAAAAAACAGTATAAAAATCTAAAAATCAAATTTCAAATACATTATACTTCAGTACACACACATATATACATTCCCATATGTACGTATATATGCATACATATCCACACTTCTCATGTAGGCTAAGTAAGGGTTACTTTGAATCTTGTGAATACAGTTAGATCTTTTGTGCAGCCATTTTTATTACAGTTCTGAATTCCAGATATGATACACTTATATTGTGCCACATCAAGATTTCCCCTGGCCCTGTCTGAGAACTCCACTTAATTCGATTCAATTCAGTTCAATTTTATTTTTATAGTGCTTTCTACAGTATATATTGTCACAAAGCAGCTTTACAGAAATATCTAAATTCCAGATATAAATTTTTAAATTTATAAATTTAAACTTAAAAACTTAACTTATAAACTAAAAATCTTCTGGAGGCTCCACTGCTCAGAGATCACGTTTGTTTTATAAACCGCCTTGAGCCATCTTGAGGGGTGGCAAATGAAAGGGGCATTAACGTAAACAAGAAGATTAAAATGCAAATTAATACGGCTCAATGTTCATGATAAACAGAATGGGAGTGGGCTGAAGGCCAAGAAACAACAGGCTGCAACGCCACCATCTTGTCTGACACGTTTAAAAGGACATTATTATCACACCCTCATTTTACAGGCAGCTGATATGAGGATCTGACTGTGGGGGGTTATACAAAAAAAAGCAGTGTACATGATGTGTAAATGATATAGGAGACAAGTTGTTCCATCAAAAGGACCAGAGTCCTGTGAGCAGATTTGTTATGCTTACACAGTTTAAAGATATTTAAATCTTCAGTTGTCTTTTCAAATGACAATGCTTAGTGTTAGAAGTGGGCATGGGATTACTGATGTCATTCAGTGATGCCCAAAGGGGTTATTTCTGTGCAAGATTTAAACACTTTTTGGACTCATTGTAGCTGCAATTATACTAATTAGCCTATGAGTACACAGTACTGTGCAATATATATGTAAATAACATAAGTAAGCAAACAAAACAGCCGGGCATGCTATTACAGGAAAATAATACACCCTTGTATATACAGCAATTTGCCAAACTCAGTTTGCCAATTTGACAATTGCAGTTTTGAATTTAATAATGAATGACACATTACATTTAATGTTGTGGAACATCCACGAAACAAGTTAGTTCCTGTTATCACTTATGTTACAGCAGCTATAAACAGTTTTTCCCTCTTGAAGTTAATAATAAAAAAACCACAGTCATGCTACAGAGAAAGTATAAATTGCAGTGTTTTCTGTCTTGAAGACTTTCCTATGGTGGAAAACATGCATTGACACAGCACTGACAATTGACACTCCTTCTATAAATGTTAAATAAACATCTCTTAACAGAAAACTT